GACCTGGTTTTAGTCCAGACCATGTCCCGTGTGTCATCGGACCTGGTTTTAGTCCAGACCAGGTCCCGTGTGTCATCGGACCCGGTTTTAGTCCAGACCAGGTCCTGTGTGTCATCGGACCCGGTTTTAGTCCAGACCAGGTCCCGTGTGTCATCGGACCAGGTTTTAGTCCAGACCAGGTCCCGTGTGTCATCAGACCCGGTTTTAGTCCAGACCAGGTCCCGTGTGTCATCGGACCTGGTTTTAGTCCAGACCAGGGTTAGGGTTGGGGAGGAGGGGCAGCAGCACTAGAGTTGCATTCGGGTCTATAAAAATCTGATCTGACCCGTAGCCATTTTTTCCAAACCCGACCCGATCAAATGTCCTGAACCGAAAAACAAATGACTTTTTTTATTTATTAAGCTTTTGCTGCTTTTGTAAACAAGTAATATTTTAAAAACGTATTTCAAAGAAAGGAAGACGTCAGACTTCTTGTTTCACCAAATGAATATTAACGAAACGAATAGCCTAAAAAATAATCTCTAAAGATCAGCTATTGTACAAATGAACAAAATAATTTTAGAGCTAAATTATTTGTAAAATATAGAAGAAGGCTGTTTTAATTGAACACGCTGCTCGTTTCGGCTGTTGTAGCTGCTGCTACTTCCTTCACCGCAGATGACAGCAGGTGTGGAGACGCGCGCGGCCGGTGATCAGCTGGTCCATCTGAAGCCTAACTGGACATTTGTACCTTTTTCAACCGGCCGGTCGGACCTGCCTCCTCCTCTACAAGTCGATTAACACAATTTTAGATCGTCCATTCTTATTTAGTTTTCTTTGTGCTGTATAAAAATAAGAGCAGCTGACGTACAGCACTGTTGTGTTTATTCACCAAACTTCATGCTCAGTAATCCAGGTAAAAATAATCCAGGTAAAAATAATCCAGGTAAAAATCCAAGAATGGTTAGTCAGGTTTGTATGTTTATTATATTTACCACCTGATGATGCAGTCAGCTGATGTAAAGCATCTGTTTTCTGCCGGTGCTTCGTGTCACACTGAGGAACACCGTGACTTTCCGCTGGTTTTCTTTGTTTACCTGTCCAGGTGTGGGAGCTATCGTCTGGTGAGATGCTGTTGTCCGTCCTTTTTGATGTGGAGATCATGTCAGTGACCTTTGATCCCTGTGAATACTTCCTTTTCTGTGGAGGAAGTGATGGAAGCATCTTTCAGGTGTCTCTGTGTAGTCAAGTAAGTGTGACACCTCACTAAATCTTCTGCGTTCACCAATACTGTGGAAACTTCCTGTGTCGTAAATTCATAGGTTTACGCTTCCTGTTTCCTAAAGTCACAGTTTACACTTCCTGTTTCCTAAAGTCACAGTTTACACTTCCTGTATCCTAAAGTCACAGTTTACACTTCCTGTTTCCTAAAGTCACAGTTTACACTTCCTGTTTCCTAAAGTCACAGTTTACACTTCCTGTTTCCTAAAGTCACAGTTTATACTTCCTGTTTCCTAAAGTCACAATTTCCACTTCCTGTTTCCTAAAGTCACGGTTTACACTTCCTGTTTCCTAAAGTCACAGTTTACACTTCCTGTATCTTAAAGTCCCAGTTTACACTTCCTGTTTCCTAAAGTCCCAGTTTACACTTCCTGTATCCTAAAGTCCCAGATTAACACGTGCTTTGTCCTAATGTCATGGTTGTAGGTTTCGTTGCCCTACTTTTGACTGTATCGGTGTTTATGACATTTTAGTTACTGTCGTGTTTGGATCTGTTTTGGATACATGTCACATCTGTCCATTTTGTCTTTATTTTTAGTAATTAATTTCAACCTGAACTTTCATCTGATTTCAGATTAATTTCAGCCTGCTCTCTCAGACTCATAAATTGGTTTCAGGGTTTTTTACAGAGTTGGTCAGGTATGTTTCAGGTACTCTGTCCTCAGCTGATGAGTTTTTCGTTGCTTTGTTTAACTGGTAATTTATCATCTAAATGAAACCTGCTGGTTTTAATCTCATGAATCAACTTGAGGTTAATTAACTCCTGTGGGAGGCAGCAGGGAGCTGATATTTAAAGAGACAAATGATGGAGAAAGATTTTGTCTTTGAATTATTATTTTTTTACTAGACCTTTAATGAGCTGGTGGATTCATTTAACATCATCAATATTTTTCCATTTGGTACCTGGTAGCTCTCAGGTCTTTACCCCTCCTGCTGACCTTGGGTCAAAATGACTCACAAGGATAATAAATGTAGGTTTTTACTGTCACAGGTTGGACGTTGACCAGAGCAAACCTCTTGGTGGTGGTTGTTGTTGGTAATGTTGTTGTTGTTTGTGTTAATGTTGTCAAAGATCGATCATTTAAAATCCCTTTTTTTTTCTTCAGACTCTCAGTCGGGAAAAGTCCTTCCAATCTGCCAGTGAAGGATCCCAGGTGTTCAAAGGACACAGGTGAGACTGACACAGTGAATTATCCTGATCCTGGTTCTGGAAGGGTTCTGATCTGTGATTCGGACTGTCCTCAGGAACATGGTCACATGTCTCTCCGTGTCCATGGACGGTACTCTCCTCCTCTCTGGGTCACACGATGAGACAGTTCGTCTTTGGGACATTCAGAGCAGACAAAGCGTCCGCTGCCTTGCACACAAAGGTAAGCCCCACCCCCAGTGCTTAGTCTGAGATGGATCCTGCCGGAACAAGATCAGAGAACTCCCTCATTCTGACGCGCTGCGTTGCGGCAACTGTTTGCTCAGATCCGGCAACTCAAATCTCCGCCCCTAAAAGTCCAAAGTCATCACGCATTTTTATTTAGATTATTTATTGAAAATACAAAGAGAGGAGACGCTGCCCAGTCTGTGGAGTGGATGTTCCAGCCGCAGCAGGCGCACCAGCTCGCGCACACGCGCCTGCCGGCAGAGACGCAGACCACATGTCCCGCGGGGATGAGCGTCTTCATCCACCTTCAGCTGTGCGCCCTGAGACAGTGCACGTTGTACGCACAGGAGCGTCTCCAGACAGCTCTGCAGAGCGCGCACAACTGCTGATGTGTCATAACTCCTGCACAAAGACATATACACACAGCTGAAGGTGTTTGTTGTCTGAATGCAGATGTTTTTTGTACACATACAGATGTTTGAATGTTTGTATATTAGTAGTCTGTGTGCAGATGTTTTTGTTGTCTGTGCAGATGTTTAGTTTTGTTTGTTTTCTGTGTGCAGATGTTTTTGTTTCTGCGGGCAGATGTTTTTGTTGTATGTGTGCAGATGTTTTTGTTTCTGCTGGCAGATGTTTTTATTTGTGTGCAGATGTTTTTGTTGTCTGTGTGCAGATGTTTTTGTTGTCTGCGAGCAGATGTTTTTTTCTGTGTGCAGATGTTTTTTGTTTCTGCGGCAGATGTTTTTGTTTTCTGCGTGCAGATGTTTTTGTTGTTTGCGTGCAGATGTTTTTGTTTCTGCTTGCAGATGTTTTTGTTTCTGCGTGCAGATGTTTTTGTTGTCTGCGTG